ACTGTCACCTGTCACCTTGTCCTACATGTACTGTCACCTTATCCTACATGTACTGTCACCTGTCACCTTGTCCTACATGTACTGTCACCTTATCCTACATGTACTGTCACCTGTCACCTTGTCCTACATGTACTGTCACCTTATCCTACATGTACTGTCACCTGTCACCTTGTCCTACATGTACTGTCACCTTATCCTACATGTACTGTCACCTGTCACCTTGTCCTACATGTACTGTCACCTTATCCTACATGTACTGTCACCTGTCACCTTGTACTACATGTACTGTCACCTTGTCCTACATGTACTGTCACCTTGTTCTACATGTATTGTCACCTGTCACCTTGTCCTACATGTACTGTCACCTTGTCCTACATGTACTGTCACCTGTCACCTTGTCCTACATGTACTGTCACCTTGTCCTACATGTACTGTCACCTGTCACCTTGTCCTACATGTACTGTCACCTTGTCTTACATGTACTGTCACCTTGTCCTACATGTACTGTCACCTTGTCCTACATGTACTGTCACCTGTCACCTTGTCCTACATGTACTGTCACCTTGTCCTACATGTACTGTCACCTGTCACCTTGTCCTACATGTACTGTCACCTTGTCCTACATGTACTGTCACCTGTCACCTTGTCCTCCATGTACTGTCACCTTGTCCTACATGTACTGTCACCTTGTCCTACATGTACTGTCACCTGTCACCTTGTCCTCCATGTACTGTCACCTTGTCCTACATGTACTGTCACCTTGTCCTACATGTACTGTCACCTGTCACCTTGTCCTACATGTACTGTCACCTTGTCCTACATGTACTGTCACCTTGCCCTACATGTATTGTCACTTGTCCTCCATGTATTGTCACCTTGTCCTACATGTACTGTCACCTGTCACCATGTCCTCCATGTACTGTCACCTTGTCCTCCATGTACTGTCACCTTGTCCTCCATGTACTGTCACCTTGTCCTCCATGTACTGTCACCTTGTCCTACATGTACTGTCACCTTGTCCTTCATGTACTGTCACCTGTCACCTTGTCCTCCATGTACTGTCACCTTGTCCTCCATGTACTGTCACCTTGTCCTCCATGTACTGTCACCTTGTCCTCCATGTACTGTCACCTTGTCCTACATGTACTGTCACCTTGTCCTCCATGTACTGTCACCTTGTCCTGCATGTACTGTTACCTTGTCCTACATGTACTGTCACCTGTCACCTTGTCCTCCATGTACTGTCACCTTGTCCTCCATGTACTGTCACCTTGTCCTGCATGTACTGTCACCTTGTCCTTCATGTACTGTCACCTGTCACCTTGTCCTCCATGTACTGTCACCTTGTCCTCCATGTACTGTCACCTGTCACCTTGTCCTCCATGTACTGTCACCTTGTCCTCCATGTACTGTCACCTTGTCCTTCATGTACTGTCACCTGTCACCTTGTCCTCCATGTACTGTCACCTTGTCCTCCATGTACTGTCACCTTGTCCTCCATGTACTGTCACCTTGTCCTCCATGTACTGTCACCTTGTCCTCCATGTACTGTCACCTTGTCCTACATGTACTGTCACCTGTCACCTTGTCCTCCATGTACTGTCACCTTGTCCTCCATGTACTGTCACCTTGTCCTCCATGTACTGTCACCTTGTCCTCCATGTACTGTCACCTTGTCCTCCATGTACTGTCACCTTGTCCTCCATGTACTGTCACCTTGTCCTTCATGTACTGTCACCTTGTCCTCCATGTACTGTCACCTTGTCCTCCATGTACTGTCACCTTGTCCTCCATGTACTGTCACCTTGTCCTCCATGTACTGTCACCTTGTCCTCCATGTACTGTCACCTTGTCCTTCATGTACTGTCACCTTGTCCTCCATGTACTGTCACCTTGTCCTGCATGTACTGTTACCTTGTCCTACATGTACTGTCACCTGTCACCTTGTCCTCCATGTACTGTCACCTGTCACCTTGTCCTGCATGTACTGTCACCTGTCACCTTGTCCTGCATGTACTGTCACCTTGTCCTCCATGTACTGTCACCTTGTCCTCCATGTACTGTCACCTTGTCCTTCATGTACTGTCACCTGTCACCTTGTCCTCCATGTACTGTCATCTTGTCCTCCATGTACTGTCACCTTGTCCTCCATGTACTGTCACCTTGTCCTTCATATACTGTCACCTGTCACCTTGTCCTGCATGTACTGTTACCTTGTCCTACATGTACTGTCACCTTGTCCTCCATGTACTGTCACCTTGTCCTGCATGTACTGTCACCTTGTCCTCCATGTACTGTCACCTTGTCCTCCATGTACTGTCACCTTGTCCTACATGTACTGTCACCTTGTCCTTCATGTACTGTCACCTGTCACCTTGTCCTCCATGTACTGTCACCTTGTCCTCCATGTACTGTCACCTTGTCCTGCATGTACTGTCACCTTGTCCTTCATGTACTGTCACCTTGTCCTCCATGTACTGTCACCTGTCACCTTGTCCTGCATGTACTGTTACCTTGTCCTACATGTACTGTCACCTTGTCCTCCATGTACTGTCACCTTGTCCTCCATGTACTGTCACCTTGTCCTCCATGTACTGTCACCTTGTCCTACATGTACTGTCACCTTGTCCTCCACGTACTGTTACCTTGTCCTACATGTACTGTCACCTTGTCCTCCATGTACTGTCACCTTGTCCTACATGTACTGTCACCTTGTCCTCCATGTACTGTCACCTTGTCCTTCATGTACTGTCACCTGTCACCTTGACCTCCATGTACTGTCACCTTGTCCTCCATGTACTGTCACCTTGTCCTCCATGTACTGTCACCTTGTCCTCCATGTACTGTCACCTTGTCCTCCATGTACTGTCACCTTGTCCTGCATGTACTGTTACCTTGTCCTTCATGTACTGTCACCTGTCACCTTGTCCTCCATGTACTGTCACCTTGTCCTCCATGTACTGTCACCTTGTCCTCCATGTACTGTCACCTTGTCCTCCATGTACTGTCACCTTGTCCTCCATGTACTGTCACCTTGTCCTCCATGTACTGTCACCTGTCACCTTGTCCTCCATGTACTGTCACCTTGTCCTCCATGTACTGTCACCTTGTCCTGCATGTACTGTCACCTTGTCCTCCATGTACTGTCACCTTGTCCTCCATGTACTGTCACCTTGTCCTCCATGTACTGTCACCTTGTCCTCCATGTACTGTCACCTTGTCCTCCATGTACTGTCACCTTGTCCTCCATGTACTGTCACCTTGTCCTCCATGTACTGTCACCTTGTCCTCCATGTACTGTCACCTTGTCCTCCATGTACTGTCACCTTGTCCTCCATGTACTGTCACCTTGTCCTCCATGTACTGTCACCTTGTCCTCCATGTACTGTCACCTTGTCCTACATGTACTGTCACCTTGTCCTACATGTACTGTCACCTTGTCCAACATGTACTGTCACCTTGTCCAACATGTACTGTCACCTTGTCCTACATGTACTGTCACCTTGTCCTACATGTACTGTCACCTGTCACCTTGTCCTGCATGTACTGTCACCTTGTCCTACATGTACTGTCACCTTGTCCTACATGTACTGTCACCTTGTCCTACATGTACTGTCACCTTGTCCTACATGTACTGTCACCTGTCACCTTGTCCTCCATGTACTGTCACCTTGTCCTCCATGTACTGTCACCTTGTCCTACATGTACTGTCACCTTGTCCTCCATGTACTGTCACCTTGTCCTCCATGTACTGTCACCTGTCACCTTGTCCTACATGTACTGTCACCTTGTCCTACATGTACTGTCACCTGTCACCTTGTCCTCCATGTACTGTCACCTTGTCCTCCATGTACTGTCACCTTGTCCTCCATGTACTGTCACCTTGTCCTCCATGTACTGTCACCTTGTCCTCCATGTACTGTCACCTTGTCCTTCATGTACTGTCACCTTGTCCTCCATGTACTGTCACCTTGTCCTGCATGTACTGTCACCTTGTCCTCCATGTACTGTCACCTTGTCCTCCATGTACTGTCACCTTGTCCTTCATGTACTGTCACCTGTCACCTTGTCCTCCATGTACTGTCACCTTGTCCTCCATGTACTGTCACCTTGTCCTTCATGTACTGTCACCTTGTCCAACATGTACTGTCACCTTGTCCTCCATATACTGTCACCTGTCACCTTGTCCTTCATGTACTGTCACCTTGTCCTCCATGTACTGTCACCTTGTCCTCCATGTACTGTCACCTTGTCCTCCATGTACTGTCACCTTGTCCTCCATGTACTGTCACCTTGTCCTCCATATACTGTCACCTTGTCCTCCATGTACTGTCACCTTGTCCTCCATATATATATATTTCGCTGCTCGGAAAAAAAACTTTCTCCTTTTCCCTGCTGAGTTGGTATTTTCATTCCGATATTATTAGATAATAAATCCCATAATTTAATTTACGAAACGTTTGAGCTTTAATCAAATTTAGGATATTTTTATATTCATATATTTTTTATATATTTTTATATTATTATAGTTAATATGACAATCAGCTGATGGTTCTTACAGGGATTAGTAATGTAATTCATATGTGAGTTCGCTCCTTCAGAGAATTGATTTTAATTATTTTATGGTAATGTACAAAATATATTTGAATTAGAATAACTATTTATAAATTTACTGAATAGGATATTTTTATCTAGTTTTCTTCTTATCCTTTACAGGAGGTGGTATTCTGTGGTTCGTCGTGCATTATATTAAAATAACTGATGATAAATTTTAATAAAATTATTATAATTGTTTAATTATGCATGTACTGCATAATTAAACAATTATGCAGTACATGCATGTATGTATATATATATATATATATATATATATATATATATATATATATATATATATATATATATATATATATATGTCTGATATTTAAACACATTTTGTGGCCTATATGAAGGTGAAGAATAGTGAATATATAAGGACTGGTGGAGAGTGAAGTTTATAGTGATGGTCGCTGTTGTTATGATGGCGGTGATGACGTCACGTCCGGCGACCAAGATGGCCGGCGTGAACCCTCTGTTGGTGTCTGCCAGCGGCGGCGCCTCCCTCCACGGCCTCCAGCAGGCCCCCGCGCTCCTCGTCCCGCCCTCCTCAGGTCACGGTGAGTCAATCAGACTGTGGTGGTCTGCGGGCGGGCGCCGGGGTGGGGACGGGGAGGACACAGCCACCACCACTATGGCTGACCAGGCTGGACCCCCACATATTGTAAGCTGTTGGGTGCTGGCCTGTAGGCCTACAGTAGCATGTTGGGTGCTGGCCTGTAGGCCTACAGTAGCATGTTGGGTGCTGGCCTGTAGGCCTACAGTAGCATGTTGGGTGCTGGCCTGTAGGCCTACAGTAGCATGTTGGGTGCTGGCCTGTAGGCCTACAGTAGCATGTTGGGTGCTGGCCTGTAGGCCTACAGTAGCATGTTGGGTGCTGGCCTGTAGGCCTACAGTAGCATGTTGGGTGCTGGCCTGTAGGCCTACAGTAGCATGTTGGGTGCTGGCCTGTAGGCCTACAGTAGCATGTTGGGTGCTGGCCTGTAGGCCTACATTAGCATGTTGGGTGCTGGCCTGTAGGCCTACAGTAGCATGTTGGGTGCTGGCCTGTAGGCCTACAGTAGCATGTTGGGTGCTGGCCTGTAGGCCTACAGTAGCATGTTGGGTGCTGGCCTGTAGGCCTACAGTAGCATGTTGGGTCTAAAAAGAGCCTCCAGAGGTGAGCCTATGACGTCACATGCCTCGGGCAGTGTTGAAATGTCAAAGATCATTTGGTGTTGAGTGAGATGTTCTCTGATTTATTTTATCGATTCCCGTTATTAGGGGCCAGGCAGCCTGTGTATATACATATACTTTATATATTTACTGCCAGGTGAACAGTTGCATTAGGTGAAAGGAAACGTTAGGTTCATTTATTTAGTGATGTTTGAACAAAGTGACTTGTGGTCATTTTTTAAGCCTATGTATCCCAAGGCTGCGATGCCACATCATGCGCTCATCAACGTGCAGAGGCTGTTAGTTGAAAACCTTATAATTCACTGTCGGGGGGGACAGGAAGCCGGAGTGTATTCATACACGTTATGCTTTTATCAAGGTCACTTTCCCCCTCCTCCGGGGAGGTATTACTGTCCCCGCCCAGGATACAACCCCACAAGAAGCTGACTAACTCCTGAGTACCTGCTCACTGCTAGGTGAACAGAGACATTAGGGGATTGGAAAAGTGCCCAACCATTACTGTCCTGCCTGGGATTCAAACCTTGAATTCTCGATTGATTGAGAATGAACTCGGCGGTAATACCAAAATAATTATGTTGATTATCTTGCAATTGCGTACAGTGCTCCACGGGCCTCTATGTAATGTATCCGCAATCCTTGCATCATCTCTGTGGACGTGGTCGCCACGTGGTATAACAATGGGGTGACGTAATACGAAACGTAATAGTTCACCTTGATCTGTAGTCGTCGGGGAAGGTAGGTGAAGCAAGTCTAGGCTTCTCAGGCAGGATAGGGTAGAGGGAGTCAAAGCCTCTTCAGTAATCCAAGTAGCACTTATCCTAAGTGCAGAAGGTGCCGGGTGGGCGTCGTCCGCGTCGGGTCATGTGCAGTTCATATCTGTGCTCCCCCTCCCGACCTGCGCGGGGCTGCTGCGTGGGAAGACTGTGCGCGGTCGCCGTCCACCAATCTGGGCACAGTCCTGCCTATACTATGAAATGTCTCCTTTGGCGGACACTTTGAATGTGGTTCCCTCCACATCTCTCTCTGGCTTGACACATGGTCAATTCAATTGGAATAGATTTAATTTGAACACCGAGGATGCATTGAACAGTACTATAATTTCAGGAGGATAGGTTGTATAACATAAAGGAACCTGTAAGGTAATACAGTAATGCATTAGTACTGTGTGTGTCTTAACTGTTTGTTGAGATATCGTGATGGTCAAGCCAAATTACTGCACTGCCATCGTGTCTCTTGCACACCTAATATATATATGTGTGTGTGTGTGTGTGTGTGTGTACACTCGCCTAATTGTGCTTGCGGGGGTTGAGCTCTGGTTCTTTGGTCCCTCCTCTCCTGTCTGTCAATCAACTGATGTACAGATTCTTGAGCCTACTGGGCTCTCTTATATCTACAGTTGAAACTGTGTATGGAGTCAGCCTCCACCACATCACTGCCTAATGCATTCCATCTGTTAACTACTGACACTGAAAAAGTTCTTTCTAATGTCCCTGTGCCCCATTTGGGCACTCAGTTTCCACCTGTGTCCTCCTTGTTTGCGTACTACCTGTGTTAAACAGTTTATCTATCTACCCTGTCAATTCCACTGAGAATTTTGTAGGTAGTGATCATGTCTTCCCTTACTCTTCTGTCTTCTAGTGTCGTAAGGTGCATTTCTCGCAGCCTTTCTTCGTAACACATGCCTCTTTGTTCTGCGACTAGCCTAGTGGCATATCTCTGAACTTTTTCAAGCTTCGCATTGTGCTTGATAAGGTACGGGCTCCATGCTGGGGCCGCATACTCCAGGATTGGTCTTGCAATCAGTGTGTGTCTGTGTGTGTGTCTCACCAATCTCTCACACACACACACACACAGTGTCTTCTGAGTGTCGTAAGGTGCATTTCTCGCAGCCTTTCTTCGTAACACATGCCTCTTTGTTCTGCGACTAGCCTAGTGGCATATCTCTGAACTTTTTCAAGCTTCGCATTGTGCTTGATAAGGTACGGGCTCCATGCTGGGGCCGCATACTCCAGGATTGGTCTTGCAATCAGTGTGTGTCTGTGTGTGTCTCTCATCAATCTCTCACACACACACACACACAGTGTGTGTGTGTGTGTAATTACCGAAGTGTAGTTACAGGATGAGAGCTACTCTAGTGGTGTCCCGTCTTCCCAGCACTTTGTCATATAACGCTTTGAAACTACTGACGGTCTTGGCCTCCACCACCTCCTCACCTAACTTGTTCCAACCGTCTACCACTCTGTTTGAGAAAGTGAATTTTCTTATTTCTTCGGCATCTGTGTTTAGCTAGTTTAAATCTATGACCTCTTGTTCTTAAAGTTCCAGGTCTCAGGAAATCTTCCCTATCGATTTTATCAATTCCTGTTACTATTTTGTATGTAGTGATCATATCACCTCTTTTTTTTTCTGTCTTCTAGTTTTGGCATATTTAATGCCTCTAACCTCTCCTCGTAGCTCTTGCCCTTCAGTTCTGGGAGCCACTTAGTAGCATGTCTTTGCACCTTTTCCAGTTTGTTAATGTGCTTCTTAAGATATGGGCACCACACTACTGCTGTATATTCTAGCTTTGGCCTAACAAAAGTCATGAACAATTTCTTTAGTATATCGCCATCCATGTATTTAAAAGCAATTCTGAAGTTAGAAAGCATGGCATAGGCTCCTCGCACAATATTCTTTATGTGGTCCTCAGGTGATAGTTTTCTATCTAGAACCACCCCTAGATCTCTTTCTTTATCAGAATTCTTTAAAGATTTCTCACATAATGTATAGGTTGTGTGGGGTCTATGTTCTCCTATTCCACATTCCATAACATGGCATTTATTAACATTAAATTCTATTTGCCAAGTAGTGCTCCATATACTTATTTTGTCTAGGTCATCTTGAAGGGCATGACAATCATCTAAGTTTCTTATCCTTCCTATTATCTTAGCATCATCAGCAAACATGTTCATATAATTCTGTATACCAACTGGTAGATCATTTATGTAGACAATAAACATCACTGGTGCAAGAACTGAACCCTGTGGTACTCCACTTGTGACATTTCTCCAGTCTGATACATTGCCTCTGATCACTGCCCTCATTTTTCTATCAGTCAGAAAATTTTTCATCCATGTTAGTAGGTTACCTGTCACCCCTCCAATATTTTCACCCCTATGGACCGAAACGTCGTCGTCCCTTCACATTCTAGTGTGTGGTCTGGTCAACAATCAGGTATACATATAAACCATAAATAAAATAAATGAACATTTAACTGCACTGTACTTTTAATGTGGACTCTTGTTGGTTGACCAATCCACACACTAGAAAATGAAGGGACGATGACATTTCGGTCCGTCCTGGACTGTTCTCACAATCGACTTGAGACTGGTCCAGGATGGACCGAAACGTCGTCATCCCTTCAATTTCTAGTGTCGATTGGTCAACATACTTCAGCCACATTATTGTAACTCATCGCCTGCTCTTATTGGTGTATGGGAGATGGTGAGGTGGGAGGGAGGAGCGGTGTTGGTGTATGGGAGACAGTGAGGTGGGAGGGAGGAGCGGTGTTGGTGTATGGGAGACAGTGAGGTGGGAGGGAGGAGCGGTGTTGGTGTATGGGAGACAGTGAGGTGGGAGGGAGGAGCGGTGTTGGTGTATGGGAGACAGTGAGGTGGGAGGGAGGAGCGGTGTTGGTGTATGGGAGACGGTGAGGTGGGAGGGAGGAGCGGTGTTGGTGTATGGGAGACAGTGAGGTGGGAGGGAGGAGCGGTGTTGGTGTATGGGAGACGGTGAGGTGGGAGGGAGGGAGGGAGGGAGGAGCGGTGTTGGTGTATGGGAGACGGTGAGGTGGGAGGGAGGAGCGGTGTTGGTGTATGGGAGACAGTGAGGTGGGAGGGAGGAGCGGTGTTGGTGTATGGGAGACAGTGAGGTGGGAGGGAGGAGCGGTGTTGGTGTATGGGAGACAGTGAGGTGGGAGGGAGGAGCGGTGTTGGTGTATGGGAGACAGTGAGGTAGGAGGGAGGGAGGAGCGGTGTTGGTGTATGGGAGACAGTGAGGTGGGAGGGAGGGAGGAGCGGTGTTGGTGTATGGGAGACAGTGAGGTAGGAGGGAGGGAGGAGCGGTGTTGGTGTATGGGAGACGGTGAGGTGGGAGGGAGGGAGGAGGTGAGACTGTATCCTGCTCGCCTTAAACACTTTCGTTATCTTGAGGTTATCTTGAGATGATTTCGGGGCTTAGCATCCCGTGGCCCGGTCCTCGACCAGGCCTCCTTTTTGTTACACCACCCCCCCCACCACCCCCAGGAAGCACCCCATAGCAGCTGTCTAAATCCCAGGTACCTATTTACTGCTAGGTAACAGGGGTATCAGAGTGACGAAAAACATTTTGCCCATATGTCTCCGCCTCCACCAGGGATCGAAACCGGATCCTCGGGACTACGAATCCGAAGTGCTGTCCGCTCAGCTGTCAGGCGCCCTGACAGCTGTCAGTTCGTATCTGCATCATTGGTTTCACATATTTCACTGCTGCTGTTATGTGGCAGGCAGTCAGAACCAGTCACTTAGTCACAAGTCCATCAAGTATTCATAGTCAAGATCAGTCACAGGCAGTCATAACCACAGTCAGTCAAGCATTCACAGGTGTGATAGCGATCAGTTTGGCATTCAGCCATTTACAGTCACTCAGGCTTTCACAGTCAGTAAACAACAAGTTTAAAGTTATGTAGTCTGCCTCGTGATCCACCAGCTGGTAGCAACGAAGCCTGTATTAATACCGTCCAGATGTGGCTGGGGGGTACAGCTGGACGGGGGGGGGGGGTCCGGTATAGGGAATGGAGGTAGCGGGAAGTAATCAGTAACTAAAGACAATTACGGTTTAGGTAAGGCGACATGTTTCATTCACTCGGATCATCGAAGACTCTTAACTTGGGTTATCAACCACTTGGACTGGTCAGTAGGGCGATGGTCTCTCTTCTTGCAGGTGAGCGTTGAATCTCCGACCGGCCAAGTGGTTGGGTGCCACTTTGCATTTCATTTGGGTGCATTTCCTGCATCCTATCCCAGATCCTTATCCTCATTCCTTCCAAGTGCTATATAGTCATAATGACTTAGTGCTTATCCTGATAATTACCTTACCTTAAGCTTCAAAAGTACAAAACCGTTGTATCGCTGTCATAAAGACTGGTGATCCAAGGGAATGAAATGTTTCTACTAATGTTCTTGTGATTCCATATTTATACACATTTTTTTATGATAATTCTGCTGGAAATAAATTATATGCACAATTGTAGCATGTATTACTTAATCAATGCACATGTCATTACAGTACTGTACTTTCAAAAGATGGACAAATTGTGAATTGATTACATTTTTCTTTTCTTTTTTTACATTTGCAGAAGTAGGAGCAGATAGCCGTGTGGAGCAGAGTGGATCGGTGTCTCCGGTACAAGATGTAGCAGCAGTTGTAAACACAAGTACTGCTGGCTCTCGGTTTCAAGCATCAAGTACAGGAGAGTATCGAGTAGCTGGAGGGGTGTACTCTCCTGTTCCTGTCACCCCCTACGGGCCTGCTCAGTCAGCGTCGATGCAGTCCGTTGTAGCGCCGAGTGGAGTGCATCCCCAAGCAACGGCTCCATCACCTCTTGTACTGTCCCCTACGATATCGAGTGGAGAAGCCTTTAAGGCCCAGTTTACTACTGCTGGTTCACAGTCTGTTGGTTCTTCTGCCAGTCTGTCGTTCAGCAGTTCGCCTCACCCTCATCAGTTCCTCTCTGGTAAACGCGCTAATAGCCTATATTACACTCCAGTTGGTCCACCCCCATCTACGACACTTCCTGTTGATCCGCTCCCATCTACTACACTACCTGTTGATCCACCCCCATCTATGACACTTCCTGTTGATCCGCCCCCGTCTACTACCCCTCCTGTTGGTCTACCACCATCCGCTACCCCTCCTGTTGGTCCACCATCTGCTACCCCTTCTGTTGGTCCACCACCATCTGCTACCCCCCCTGTTGGTCCACCATCTGCTACCCCTTCTGTTGGTCCACCACCATCCGCTACCCCTCCTGTTGGTCCACCATCTGCTACCCCTTCTGTTGGTCCACCACCATCTGCTACTCCTCCTGTTGGTCCACCACCATCTGCTACTCCTCCTGTTGATCCACCACCGTCTGCTACCCCTTCTGTTGGTCCACCACCATCTGCTACCCCTCCTGTTGGTCCACCACCATCTGCTGCACCTGTTGGTCCGTTACCCTCTGCTGCTACTCCTGTTGGTCCGCCCTCATCTGCTGCCTCTCCTGTTGGTCCACCACCATCTGCTGCCTCTCCTGTTGGTCCACCACCCTCTACTACACCTGTTGGTCCACCACCCTCTACTACCTCCTTATTTGGCCCACCATCCTCTACTACTTCCTTATTTGGCCAACCACCCTCTTCTACCTCTTCATTTGGGCCACCACCCTCTTCTATCTCCTCATTTGGCCCACCGCCCTCTGCTACCTCCTCATTTGGCCCACCGCCCTCTGCTACCTCCTCATTTGGCCCACCGCCCTCTGCTACCTCCTCATTTGACCCACCGCCCTCTGCTACCTCCTCATTTGGCCCACCACCCTCTGTTATTACTGCTGCTGCAACGTTTCCCAATGGCACCTTGTTGCAGGGAAGCTCCACCGCCGACAGAGTAGGGGCTCTCTCCAACCCTGCAACACGCCAGTTTGGTCCGCCTGCTGTTGGGCACATCCCCCTGGGCCCACCACCAGTGGCCCCAAGGACTGTCTCGCCCTCTTTGGGTCCACCCCCAGTCGGGCTCACCCCTGCTGACCTCGGTCTCGGAGCAAAACACAAGAAGGGTAAGTTGGGTGTTCTATTTTCCGAAGCATAAATATTGAGACTGCTGTATAGTATCTTGTTGCACCTTTATTTTTAGTTTTTTATACCTACACCTCAGGAATATGTAGAGAAGCCTCAAGTTGAGAGTGACTTTATTGATGGTTTTTGCGGCTTGCAAATGGTAAAGAAAGCTATGTGAAAGTGAGATCAGGTTACAAAGATTGTAAAAATAAATATTTTGTATTATCAGCTTGGCATTTTGGGTTAGACTGCTGAATTGTGCTTGATGCCAGTGTAGCCTTGTTGATTTTTTTTCTATGATGATGAGTTTGGCATTTAAAATGTACATGAGGTGTTGTGCTTGATTAATGTGTGGAATAACCCAAGTGTAGTTACCCAAGTGTAGTTAAAGGTTGAGAGCTACGCTCGTCGTGTCCCATCTTCCCAGTACTCTGTTATATAATGCTTTGAAACTTCTGATGGTTTTGGCCTTCACCACCTTCTCACCTAACTTGTTCCGACTATCTACATTTTCTTATATTTCTTCAGCAGCTTTGTTTAGTTAGTTTAAATCTATGACCTATGACAGGTGTTCCTGAAGTTCCAGGTCTTTGGAAATTCTTCCCTATCAATGTTATCAATTCCTGTTACTCTTTTGTATGTTGTGATCATATCGCCCCTTTTTATTCTATCTTCTAGTTTTGGCATATATAATGCCTCTAACCTCTCATATAAAAACTATTGAGAAAATTTATCAGTAGAAAGTGCCAAGCCATTACAACTGTATAGCACTTGGAAGGGCTCAGGCTAAGGATTTGGGATGGGACTGGGGGGAGAGGGAGGAATGGTGCCCAACCACATAGACGGTGGGGGATTGAAAGCCAACCTGCATGAAGCAAGACCGTTGCTCTACTGTCCAGCCCAAGTGTGGTTGGCTACATGAATGTCTCCAGAATGTGGTTTACAAATCTGCCTGTCCAAATGTCCTCCGTTCTTGCTTTGTAGGTCTCCCAGTCTATTGCTTTCAAGTTGAAGTCCTACAGTACAATCATGATTTATCTTTATCTGCTCTTACTATAATCTCTCTCGTGACCATTATGAGACCCTCTCGTTTGTCATCTAGTTCCTCCTTTGTCCATGTGTTGCTTGCTGGTGGGCTGTAGGCATTTACAATTATCAGTTTATCATCCTGATTTGAAACCTGCAATGCCAATATGTCAACTTCTTGAGGGTTTTCAGTTATTAACACACTTACCGTCAGGTGTTCTGTTACCAGCACCGCCACGCCTTCACCCTTCCTAGTTTTCCTGTCACCTCTCTAATCTGAGTAGCCTCTTGGGAATGCATCCTCACTTAAAATATTTTCTTCAAGTTTTGTCTGTTAGTGCAACAATATCTGGGACCTTTAGCTGAATTATCTCTTGGCTCCAGTATTTTTTTTGTTTATCTCGCTCTATCTATGTTGGTATATACAATTTTCAGGAACATGTTCCCTTTTCCTTTGTCCTTTATGCCTCCTTCCTCTAAAGATTTTGTTGTTTTTGTACCATTTCACCCGCTTTCCAATCCCTAACACTTTGTAGAAAAAAAAAAATCATTTTTTCTTCATTTCTATTCCTATTTAGATGTTTTGCTTCATTGAAGTTTATTTTCAGCATTTTTGTGTCTTCCTTTGAGAGGTCTGTTCTTATTGATCAAAGTTTGCCATCCTCATCACTGTAATTTCCTCACATTTCTAAGCACTTCCATCATTTGTCACTTTATTAAATGTCACCCTTAAGGGGCGGTTCTTGTCTTTCTCATATTTTCCTATCCTAAAATCGCTGACATTTTGCTTTGAATTGAGGCCTTCTCCTAAACCTATTATTTTCTCTGACTTTCATCTCTTCTGCTGCTCTGTTCGCCTTAGATGATACAGTATTCTCTGTTCTAAACACCCCAAAATTGTTATGGACTTACTTCTATCTGTGGTTTTTTGTGCTAATTTACTGTTGGTAACCAGTTCTTTCCTAGTTGCTTGTCTAAATTTTGCTTTCCTAGTTGCTTGTCTAATTTTTGCTAATTTTGGTCATTTCTGGTTTTGACTTGCAAACACACTTCCTTGATCGTCTTTCTCTTTTACAACTTGTGCATACATCTCTTTAATTTTCTTGTACTTTTCTAGTTCTTTATTAACCTCAGCAAAGTGCGTGTGTGCATGACTTATGAGTACGTTATGTTGGAAGTTCGTCATTTTCTCATAAGTGTTGTGATAGTATATGCCAGGGCCTACTTAATGGTGTTCATAATGGCATGCCCTTTACATGCCTTCAGGGAGTTTATACACAAGAATGTCCCCCTGTCACATTCCTGTGAAAAAGTCCCTGAAGGCATGGCCCCTGTTACATTCCTATGAAAAAGTCCCTGAAGGCATGGCCCCTGTTACATTCCTGTGAAAAAGTCCCTGAAGGCATGGCCCCTGTTACATTCCTATGAAAAAGTCCCTGAAGGCATGGCCCCTGTTACATTCCTGTGAAAAAGTCCCTGAAGGCATGGCCCCTGTTACATTCCTGTGAAAAAGTCCCTGAAGGCATGGCCCCTGTTACATTCCTGTGAAAAAGTCCCTGAAGGCATGGCCCCTGTTACATTTCTCTGAATGAAATCCTTGATGGAATGTCCCTTTCATTCCTCCATGTCTTTTGTGCTAAATGTCTTGCTTTGTTCAACATTTTAATTTGTCTAATATGAACAGCTTTCTTAAACTCGTCACATAAAACAGTGCGATATACGTTTTCAATCATGTAGTTAACTTGTAATAGTCAAGTAACGTATTCTGCCAAATGCTGACAATGCGTTGGCATGTATCTCGTGTGTGGTGCTTCAACTACCAGTAGTAATAATGGTTTCTGTTTTTTTGTGTACACAACTCTCGGGGTGAATGTACACATTTGTGTTGGTTTATATTATAAGTACTGTAATTTGTGGGAGACGTGCACCACAATTAGTTTCATTCGGTGTTATGTCTGCAATGAAACCGAAAGAGCAGTCTCGTTAGAAAAAATTTAATTTCTGTATTGCCCCCAACAAAATTGCTAGCCTCGTTCCTGTGTGTATTTTATCTGACCATTTAATTGGGCCTGTCTCTGATGGAGCCTTTGAAATAAAAATATTTGCTCCATGTACGATATTAGATTTTGGTAGCCATTTGGTGAAATCTGGTTACTTGTCATTATCTTAAAGATTAAAACTAGTCACTAAAATGTTTCAAAACTTAATTGGTAATTGAAATAAAGCTTCTATTGTCTTAATTTTATGGATTTAGAACCAAGTTGCCACATTGAGTTCCGATGACGGCAAAATGCATCATCCGATTGTTATTCATGAACGTTTGTATACCCCTCTCTGTCGTGCACAATAAATACACTTGTTTTTGCATGTATTCCATAGAGAATTCATTTACAAATATTTTGACACTAAATTTATAGTTATAACCCAACAAATAACTTGGAGAAAATAAAATGGTTGTAAACATTTTTGCTACATTACTTAGCAGCCCAGGGAGCCCAGAACGTTTACGGTCAGGAACGCATGAAGAGGCCGGGCAGACAAAGCTTTAAAATGCATATCCAGTACAGTACTGTACTTGAGCTGTTGTGGTTGTCAGTTTTAAACTTGGCAAATAGTTGTGGATGTGGAGTCACTGGGCAAAGAAAGTTGTTTACAGGAAGATGGTGGTGATCAAAAATGGCCTGAACAGCTACCAATATGAAATCTGCTCTTTTAGCTTTAGGTATTGCAGCCTTGAATAATTTTCACTTCTAAAAGGTACTGACAATGGTAGGTGGATAACGTGCTTCTGATAAGCATTGTCCTAGACATAAGTTGATATTTGAGTGTATCCACCTGATTTTTAAGGACATGTGGGGCAGTATCTTACTCGTTAAATTCAGGGCTCCGCTGAGCTTGGAGGTGCTAAAATGGTAGTACAGTAAATTGGTTAATTTAGGAGGGTACCAGGTCAGTAACCATGTATATAAAACACTGTTACTGATCTCAAATTCATCCATTTTGAACCGTCAAGTCAGTAAATGAGGTCCTTAAATAGTGGATTGCACATAGTATTGTATATTTGTGGGTGTAGACTAGGGGTAGATTGGAGGTGTGTGTGTGTGTGTGTGGGGGCTACATTGGCTTGGGCATGTGTTTCAGGCAGTAGTGCCCTCCGCCGACCGAGGAGCAAGTATGTAGTGCAGCAGGTGGCCTCCAGCCCCCTCCAGCCACTCCCGTGTGCCGTCTCTCCAAGGCTTCCTCTTACTACCGTGGCACACTTTCCCTCGACGCAAACTAACATTCCGCTCGTCCCTCCGTCTTGTCCGACACCCTTTCCACCCCCTAATACAAACTTGTTGGCTAATACTATAGCGCCAGTGCCCCTCGCCAATGTGTCGTCTCCAGCTTCGAGTGTGCCTTTTGCAGCTTCCTCGCTGGCTACTGGGCTGAGCAGCATCAGTCTTGAAAGGAAGTTGTCGGAGGCTGCACTAGAACAATCGACATCTGGCCCTCCCAGAACCTCCTTCACTCCGGATCATTCCTCCGTGATTCCTCCATCTTTTGAGAATATGGTGAGATGTTTTTCTTTGTACTTAACGTAATAAAAGCATAATGTTTACTAATGTACAAGTCAGTTATATGCTAAAAAAAAAAGAAGTTAACCCGCACCGATTTTTTTTTTTTTTTTTTTTTAATTTGTGTGATCTTTTCCCCTGGAAGGTTTATTCAGATTTTCAGATCCTATCCAAGGTTTTGTGGTGATCAAATGTGCACTGACTGCACCATTGCCTCTGATTATTTTTATTTTCCCAAATATTTTGTTACTTGTACTTTTTTCCATCATGGCTTCCATTTTTCCTTCCCCCCCCCTCCTTCCCAGTGTGCGTGTAATTACCTAGTTGTGTAGTTACAGGTCGGCTATGAGTGCTATAGTTGTTGTGTCCCATCTTCCCACAACCCAGTACTCTGTCATCAAAAGCTTTGAAACTACTGACAGTTTTGGCTTCCACAACTTTTTCACTTTTGGTCTACCCGTTTACCAATCTGTTTGCGACAATAAATTTTTATATACCTTTCTGGGGGGGACTCCCCAGAGCTTATCCAGGCTGATATGCTAATGTCAGACTTCGGCATCAGTCATGTGTATGGAGTTCTGTGGCCCTACCGGGGACCACGAGCCAGAACCTGGCCCCTCAGAGAGGCAAGGGGAGCAATGGCCTATAGAAACCCCCGTGTGGTTGGAAGCATTCTATGTCTGCCATTGACCGGGTCAGGCACCCAGAAAGGTAAGCATCCCAAAACAAACCCCGATTCTGGTGAAAATATTGCTACCAAAAGCCGATTAAGTGGCTAGAACTCCCTAAAAGAAACGAGCAAATGAACATGACATCACACGTTGCCGCGTTGCTGTCTGCGCAGCTCCCCCCTCCAGCCCCAGACCCCTGCGCTGGCTATCCACCCTTCAGTTTTATGGCTGATGCTAGAGGCAGAGGTTGTGTGCTCTGGCTCCAGTGATTTCCAGCATTGTGCTTAGAGTGTGGCGGCTGTCTTCCAGGGGTGCAAGAGCCAGGAGTTACTCTACAGTACTCGGGCTGCATGCGCCTAGGGTTACCTTCTCTAGGTGCCTTTAAGTACTGCCCTTGAGGCTTGGGGCCACCTTCCACAAGTTCCTTGGGTCCTGCCTCTGCTGGGCTGTTTTACTGCTCAGTTTTTCAGCTGCCCTTTGGGCACTTGGGTGTTTTGTCTCCCTTGTTTACCTTAGGGAAAGAGGCAGTTTGCACTGGTAAGGGGCACAGGGTGCTGCGCAGCTTGTTTTCGCCATTCATAGCAGCCGGCTCTGTTCCTTTGGGTACATTGTCCTCCTGTGGGATTTTCTTTTTGTTTTTGTTTTTGCCTTGTGGGGGGTCTGCCTTGGTTCTTGCCCCCCCCCCATGTCCTGAGTACTCTTCCTTCTTCCGGTGGTTCCCCCTGCTAGGTCCCCGTGAGTGTATACGTCCCTGGGGTTCAGCTTTAGAGTATTGCTAGATAGTCTTGGGCGCCGGGTAGCAGTACTCTGCCTGGGCTTCCCTGAGCGTGGGTTCCGTCTCAGGACCCTGGGAATCCCCATGGGGACGCGCGGGTCCGATGGATGTGACCCCGGAGTTCCCCCCCTCGCTTTGTGCGAGTTCGAGGGTTGATCTGTCTCCTTCTCTCAGGGTGACTTCCTGTTTTTTGCCTCCATTTGCTGCCTGTAGGGTCGGTGGCACCTTAAACCCTGAGTCCTGCAAGTTTTGTTTCTTGTTTGTGCCTCGATTACCCAGTCTTATGCTGACTATGCGGGTGCAGGCAGCACGGGCGTTGCACGTTGAGTTTCAGTGGTGGCAACATGCTAGGTTGTTTGCTCCCCGGAAGCCCCGAGGGTGCCCCGTTTTGGTTAGCGTGACGGGGCTTGGGGGTGTTCGTGGCTTTGGTTTTGTTCCTTCTGTGCTCCGTTGTCTTTTCCCTGTTGTGGTCTAGTCTGGTCCCCCCCGTCCTACCTGCATCCGGATCCTTACCATCTGTGGGTCCATTTGTATGAGTCTGCCAGTGGGCTGGCAGACTCGTACAAAAAAAATGCCAGTCGGCGTTTTTTTTTTTTTTTTTTTTTTTTTTTTTTTTTTTGCATGTTTTGACATTAGCCTCAGAACTGAAGGGTGGATAGCTGGCTCCAATGGTCTGGGGCTCCCCCTTCCCCCTCCCAGGGAGGGGGGAGCTGCACAGACAGGGGCACGACGACGTGTGACGTCATGCTCGTTTGCTCGTTTCTTTTTGGGGAGTTCTATCCACTTGTTCGGCTTTTGGTAGCAATTTTCACCAGAATAGGGGTTTGTTTTGGGATGCTTACCTTTCTGGGTATCTGATCCGGTCGATAGCAGACAGAATGCTTCCAACCACACTGGGGTTTCTATAGGCCATTGCTCCCCTTGCCTCTCTGAGGGGGGCCAGGTTTTGGCCGTGGTCCCCAGTAGGCCCACAGAACCCCATACACATGACTGATGCCAAAGTCTGACATTAGCACATCAGCCTGGATGAGCTCCGGGGAGCCTCCGGGTCTCACCCAGAAAATGGCGTTTCATTACATTCAACGTTTTTTTTTGGGGGGGAGTTTTGTTTAGTTAGTTTAACTCTCTGACCTCTTGTTCTTAAAGTTCTGTGTCTCAAGACTTTTTCTTTGTCAATTCCCATTACTATTTTGCATGTAGTGATCATATCACCTCTTTTTCTGGGAGGAGCCCCTACGGCTCCCTGGAGCTATCCATGGCTGATATGGATATCCTAGCTATTTGGCATCAGTCGATGTGGGTGGAGTTCTAGGCCTACCGGGGACCACGAACCAGAACCTGGCCCCCTCACAAAGGCACGGGGAGCAATGGCCCATAGAATGCACATGTGATTTGGAGCATTCCATATCTGCCATTGACCGGGACAGGCACCCAGAAAGGTAAGCACCACAAAACAAACCCCTATTCTGGTTAACAACAAAAATTGACAAACGAGTGGACAGAACTCTCCAAAAGAAAAACGAACAAACCAGTATGACGTCACACGAGCCGCGCCGCATGTCTGCGCAGCTCCCCCCTCCCCGGGAGGGGGAAGGGGGAGCCCCAGACCCCCGAGCCGGCGATCCACACCCCAGTTCTGAAGCTGGACATCAAAAACTGCAAAAAAACGCCGACTGGAGGGCAGGAGGGATGCCGGGGAGCCTCCGGGACTCACCCAGAAAATGGCATTTCATTACATTCAACGCTGGTTTTCTGGGGGGAGCCCCTGCGGCTCCCCGGAGCTATCTCACCAAAGACTACCAAGAAAACCAAGGGCACTTACCCGGGAGGCGGTCGGTGCTCCACACCTCAAGACGAAGCCGAGACCATGGGCCGCAACCGCCGACCTAAGGCAACACAGGCCCGACTGGGCCCAGGAACGTTAACACGATAGCGTGCAGCCAGGACCCTGTTCGACCGCCAAAATCCCCGTGCCCAAATGTCAGCCCAAGACATATTGCCGAAGACGGTAGCAAGAGCAGCGAACTTACGAACGTCATGGGCATGGGGATAGACCGCAGGCTGGCTGGATTTAATAACCCTGCGGACGACCTGAGAGACCCGAACCCGCGAACAGGGAAGAAGGGAAACCGGATCAACCCAAAGCGTGTCCCCGGACACTGAAGCCGTGGCGCGCAGATAACGGCGGAGGGCCGCAACCGGACACAACACATGGTGAACCCCCGGCCTGACAAACCACGCATCAACAACCCAAGGACCCCTCCGGATAGCAGCAGTCTCATTCTTCACCAGAAAAGAGGGAGACGGCTGCAAACGAACAAACCGAAGACGACGACCAAAGGAGCAAAAACCTCTGCGCCGGCGAAGAGCATGAAGCTCTGCCATGCGACCCCCAGAGGCTAATGCCAACAGAGAAAGAGCCTTAGCAAAGCAATCTTGAACTGAAGGGGCCACCACAAACCGAGGAGTGGAAAGATAGAAGAGCACTGTCCAAGGACCAGGACGGCTCAGGCGGCGCATGAGCAGGCCGGAGGTGAAACAACGCCCGAGACAGCTTGCGAAACGGCGCAGAAGTAACATCAATCCCGAAAGCAAGCTGCAGCGGCTCCACCAGCGCCGCACGATACGAGGCGACAGTATTAGGCATCAGATGACGGTCCCAAAACAACCAAGAGAGAAAGGACAACACCACCCGAACCGAAAGCGAGGAGCAACGACGAAGGGTCAAAACGAACCAGCAGGACCGCCAGGAAACTTCATACTGCCGCCGAGAGGAATCTCGCAAGTGAGAAACCAACAAGGAAGCCACCTGCTCACCATAAAAATGGTGATAAACACGAGTCAAAAACACCAAACGCGAAGACTCGCGGAGAAGAGCGAACCAGTCTCGTACCGGACTAGCCCGATCTCCTGAAAGAGGCGGAGCCGCGGAAAAACCTTCGGGTTCGGACACCGAGCAAGCAGCGCCTGAAACCACGGGGCCAAGAGGACCACACAACCCTGGTAAGTCTCCAAGCGAGCCAAGACCAGGAGCAGCAGCTGAACTGGGGGAAAGAGGTACAGGAACCCCCACCTCGACCAGTCCTGCCGAAAGGCGTCAATCCCGACGGCCTCGCAGTCGGGGAAGGGCCCCACGTTAACTGGAAGACGCCTCGTCCACGCCGACGCGAAGAGATCCACCTCCGGGCGCCCGAACGTCCGGCAGAGCCAACGGAAGGAACCGGCATCGACCGTCCATTCCGTGGACAGGGGAACAAACCTGGACAGGCTGTCCGCCAGGACGTTGGACACCCCCTGGACGTGAACCGCCAGGAGAGCCAAACCCCGAGAACTCAGCAGACGAGTCACCCGAAGCGACCAACCCCAAAGAACCAAGGACCGCATCAAACCCCCTCGGTTCAGACAATGAACCACTGGGGAGCAGTCCGAATGGAGCCGGATCGTCGATCTGCGGGCAACCCGAATCCTCCAAAGCGCAAACCATACCGCCGTGAACTCCCGCACCGTGCTGTGGACCAGACGGAAGGACGGACCCCACCGTCCCTGGCCGG